ACACCTCAGGCCTGCTTTGTCTGCGAGAGCAGACTAAAGGGAGAGTGGGTTCTCAGCTCATGGTCCCCTTTCCCGGCCTGTCCCAGGGCCTGCCCAGGTGATGGCCTATTTATGGCACAATAAAGCCCTTGCTCCTTGGGTCTCTTGGTTTGGAGTCCATCTTTAGAGTGTTCGTTCTTCTCTGAAAGTCAACAGAAATATCTCCTCCCCTTTGTATAGGCAGCTAGACAGATTTCACTTGCAGTTCTTACTCTATAATATGGAAAGTCTTCAAACACCACCCCCCTCACCCCCACCCCACTCAAAACTAAAAAGGAGGAAACTAGGGGGGTGGGGGAGTGGTGATGGGTTTGGATGTCGAAGCCTCAGCAGAGAAACTGAGGAAAATGGGTTGTTGATTTGTCTGTCCCCGCCCCGCTCCCAAGACTGAGCTGCTCAGAGGCAGGGATCACTGTCTAGCTTGCGTGTCCTCCCACACAGGAAATGTCTGCTGAAATGTGGAGACAGACCCACAAAACTTACAGAAAGGGAGGCTTGGTGATGAAACAGAAACACCAGATTAGGGAGTGGGGGAGGAACATTTATAGGAAATAAAAAGACAACTTGGAGTAGGACTGGACTTAGGAGACCCAGCACAAAATGACAACACCCACATAATCTTCCTGTTACTCAATAACACAACATTTTGTTTTCAACATAACATAAAAGCCATCAAAGGCTCTCTAGCTGGCTTGCAAACACTCCGATATCCCTGACTCTACTAATGGGCAAAGAGAATGTCTTGGCAACTCCTTCAAGTGAGAGTTCTGTGGAGAGAGGGAGCACTGTTGGTCTGCAAAGGATGGGAGGGTTCAGAAAGTCCTTCATGTGCAAATCCACAATGTAGGTGAAGCGGGGGCTGTGGAAACAGTGACTTCTTCCAAGAGAGCCCTTGCCCTGGAGAAAACACTGTACTTATATTGTCAACAGAATCACAGTCTCGTTTGGGGGGGGGGGGGGGGGG